CCCCACCCCTGGAGAGGTCAGCGCCACGCCGGGGGATCGCAGGGGCCGGCGGGGCGTCCAGGCCGAGGGTTAGCCCTGGGCGGGGCGGGGTGCTGACCCTGCCGCTACCTTTTGCCCCTGGAAGATGCTCTGGAGGGGGGCGACTTCGCAGTCCTTGTGCGTGCCGAAGACCTTGCACATGGAGCAGGTGGGGACCTCGCACGTCAGGCAGTAGATGTTGATCTTTTCGTCCTCGTGCTCCTTGCACATGGGGTGGTTTCCCTTCTTCAGGGGCCTGCTGGAGACAGTGAGACGCCGGAGAGGGTCAGACGGCCCAGAGCGATGCCGGCGCCAGCGCGGCCCGTGGTGGATACGGGCTGAAACACCCCCGGGCCGTGACCCGAGGCAGAGCCCAGGCGGGGGCCAGACGTCTGCAGACAGACCAGCGCCGGCCTTCGGGGCAGTCCTGATTTCAAAGCCAGACCCACTTCCGGGCACCACGGGGCTCGGGGAGTGAATCTGGATTAACGGGGTAATTGAGACCGGCCTGGCCTTGGCTTTGGACCGTGGAGTCTGGATCAACTCCAGCCGGGCCAGGTGTTACCTTCCCAGGGAGGGCACGTTTAGAGCCAGTGCTTGTATGTGCCGGGGGCTCCGATCTGCCCGTCGCGCGCAAACCCGCCAGGCCTGCCCCAACGGCCCAGTCCCAGGGGGGAGGTTACTGCTCCCAGGGACAATCCCCGGCGCCTCTGTTTCTATGGCGATCGGATACATCTCTGCTCACACCCCTCTCTTCCTCCTCGTGCCAGGAGGGACCCCGGACGCACCCGCTAGGAGGAAATTGGAGGCCCAGGGCAGCATATTTGCTGGGCCCCGACCCCTCCTCTGTCACCTTCTCCCTACAGACACAGCAGCAAACGTGACTTAAAACTTCTTACCAGTACCCGGGTCCCTGCCAGCCCTTCCCCTAGCTCCCTGCTGGCGTTTGCTGCAGCTCAGCCAGCTCCTGCTGGAGCCGCGCGCCAGGGCGCCCCCGCTGACTGTCCCTCTGCCCAGACACCACACCGCTTTGCCCCTTCCAGCTTGGGGACCCGGCTTCATTTTCCCTCCCCCCATCAGCTGTGAGCACTGACGCCAGGAGGCCGCCAGGTTACGGAGCCACCGATGGCGAGAGCCACGGTCCAGGGACGAGGCGGGATGCTCTGATTGCAGACACACGATGCCAGGAGCCACACCGCTCCCTTTAGGGCACAGCCTCTGGTGCCGCAGGCTCCTTGTTGCCTTCTACAGAAAGCTACCGGGCATTTAAACACCGGTGGCTGGCCAGGAACCACCGACAGGAGCCTGCTCCGCTAGGAGGCTGCCGCTGAGAGATCTTTACAAGAGAAGTTCAGCAAAGTGGCTCAGGCCAGCTCCAGGGAGGAGAGCCCAGAGCAGCCCCACATCACCCATCAGGCAGGTGCCAAAGGTCCTGGCTTCCAATCCCTCGCCTACAGCGCAGGCTGCCTCCCTGGCCTGTCTGGGTTTTGAGCACTGGGGGGGGGGGGGG